ATAAACCATTCATCTTAAACCTAACGTTCAGCATGATTTCTTTGTGATTTGTGCGTGTACGTATATCACGAACCAGCAATATTCAACAAGTATTCTTGAGATTCAATTTAGGCATGACACGTAAACTGAAAGATTTAGGTGATCACTTGTGTTGCTTCAGCTCAACACATCTCAATTTGTTCAAGATCTAAACATCATAAAGTACCACATATAAATAAGACAACCCCTCGCCTCAATCACTGGCAGTTGAGGGCACAGCGTACCAATATTGTAAAGGGCCCACAACACAACCCACAACTTATGGACTAAAGGCCCGTTCACACCAAGCACGATAACTATAAAGATATAGTTCTAAAAATCGTTCTCCATATTAAAGAATAGCATAGTTCACACCACAACTATAACGATAACGATACAGAGGAACGATATCGTTGTGATCACTTTCAAAACAATTTTTTTCCCAGCTGATGAACGATAAAAAAAATCGACAGCCAATCAGAATCCATCCTGCTGTAACGAGCTCAAGAATTTAAAGCGGCAGACGCATGTGCGCTTAGAATAAACGGATGATATCGTTCGCTGGTGTGGACGCTAATATCGTTATCTTTATAGTTATCTTTATAGTTATCGTTCTTGGTGTGAACGGGGCTTTAAGCTTTAAAGCGTTTCATCCAGGTCGCCAGTAGCAAACAATGGAGCGTGCTCTGCTGGACAAACTAAGTAATTACCATTTCAAGCATTTTATCTGCATTATATGCTCTGTAAAAAAAATGTTCATATCGGCGGCATATTCGCCGATACCGATATATCGGCGACAGGCTCATATCGGCCGATAATATCGGCAAAACTATATATTGGTCGGGCTCTAATGATAATGTAATATAATCTGAACTGTGAGATTTGTGATCCGTTGCACCCCTACTCTCTTGACTTGTTATTTGAAGAAAAAATACAATATCTTTTATTCGGGCTAGTTAAATTCGTTTTTGGGCTACCAAAATCTGAAGAATGCCTACCCGAAGGGCTACCAGGGATTTTGAAATTTTGCGAGCCCTGGTTTTGTTATTATTAGCTAAAACTGTAGCTATTACAAATCAGTTTTGTCAATTGAAGTAAAGCTGAAACTCAAACTTAAATAACAAATAAAAATGACAAAAACAACTAATTAACTATAAACGAATTAAAAATATAAATAAATAACAGCATATAAATTATACTAAAATAACACTGTACCTTTAACCTTCTTGAAATAAAAAGCAAGCGCATTTGCACTCTATTGTTGGACCTGGATCATCCAGTGTAGCAAATTGTCACCTTTTGTAGAGAAAACAGTGAAAACACATCAGTTGTAGGCTTCAGTTGCAACTTTTTATAGTAAATAAGAGTGTGCTCAATGAGAAGTGTTATACTGAAGTGCTTTATTGAGTTGTCTATGTATCCATATAAGTGCGCTCTTTATTATCTCTGTCTTGTCTCAGTGGGTGATGTGTTTGTGTATAAGTGTCTGCAGCTGTTTTGGTGTGTGTGTCAGGCTCGTGGGGGCCACTGGGAGTTGTGACGTGTGGTGTAATAATAGACAAGTTTTTGTGATCCCAACAGCCTGCTCTGCTCTGTGACTCACTGAAGTTGGGCCTGAGGTCTGCATCATCACTGGGATCCGCTGTGCTGTCAAGAGCACACAAGGGATTCAGCTCTGTCCGTCAAACAAGAAAATAGAGCATTTCATTCCTTACATTTTCTGTTTGGTTCAAAAGCAATCCTAGCACAGTCCTAACAAAAGACAATACTATCCTAACTGCAGTTCTTAGTAGTCTGACAGTAGATCAGCTGCTTTCAAAGTAGTGTAGCTTTTTAACTACTTTTTTACTACTGGGTTTAAATGTCACATTGTTTTTTGTAAAGAACTGAAGGAAGAATCATATACATGCTCACTGAAACGGTTTACTCCCTCATACTGTATGTGGAATTGGAAAGTCTAATTTGTTGTAGTTGTATTGCTTCATCCTAAACTATAATTTCTCTCATATGTTGCTTTGGAAAGTTCAATTCATTCTGAATGGGTTTGTCTTAAAGGTGGGGTAAGCGATTTCTGGTAGTCAATGTTGACATTTGAAATAACCAAAACAAACACGCCCCTACCCCAAAAGGGTCTCGCCCCTATTTTGATAGCTCCTCCCCACACATACGTACGCAACCCAGGCAACGATTAGTTCTGTGAAACAAAGCAAAAC